AAATTCTCTGAATTTTGTGGCTTATCTGGCTTTTGGTTATTGTTATTTATGTGTCCAAACATGGTGACTCTGTTTCATTATTTTATTAGTAACTACCACATGATTGCCAACTAGCTATTCTTTAGCCTCATACTCATAGGGACAAAAAAAATTACATTTTTTTTAATTTATTATTGATGCATTAGGGTTTTGATTCTTTTGACTTTAATGAAATTTGACCAATTTTTAAATCAAATTTGTAATTTTGGGTAATATTAAATTTTTAAAAAAATAATTTATTATTTTAATAAATAAATATTTAAAGCGGTTTAAGACAAGTATTTCAATAGTGAAATGATTGTGGTTAGACGGTGGAATTTGATATTTAGTTACTGTCAAATAAAAACGTTAAATTGTAAATTTAGTCCTTATAATCGAGGTATTTCAGCTAAGAAATGCTCGTTTAAACTCAATGTATAATTAATTTAAGATAATTTATAATCAGATTTATTGATCCAAAGGCTCAAAATTTCTCTGATCAACTTTGTCAACGATTAGTTCTCTATGCTACGTGTCAACGATTATTCATTTCAATCAATCATTGCTCGAGCTTTCTTTTGGATAAGCCCTAAGGTCCGTGTCCGCCTAACTTAAGCAACTACCAATTTTTTTTTTCTTTTTCTCAATTGAAGGAGACATTGTTTATGTAAATACAAAATTTGCATACATTTTCCATTTCTACTCAATTTAAAAAAAATAAATATAAATATATATATATAAAAAGTCAACTCACTAGGGACTACCCTTTGGAAGGGCCACCCAAAGGGCAATAATGGAATACCACAAATTCATAGTCCTACCCTTTTTTTTTTAAATAAAAACATATTTCTTGAAATTTAAATTATATTTGAACTATTTTAATTAAATTAGGGAGATTAAAAAAAAGTAATAAAAAATAAATAAAAGAAAAGGGGACAGACAATTCAATGAATCTTATCAGACCATTGTGTTTCTCAACGGTTGGAATCAAATCAGACATGGGTTGGGATGTTTGGTCTACGGCCCTCTCTTTTGTACGTTTCTCTCCCCTTTCTGAATTTCACCTCACGTAAATATTATGGACCGTTAAAAAAATATTTAATTAATATTTTAAATTTAAAATTTATCTTAATTAACTTTTGAAATTATATATATATATATTTACGAAAAATATAAATTCGAAATATATTTTGTGCATTAAAGCCAAAGTAACCCTTTTTTGCTTTTTTTTTTTTAATTAAAAAACCTCCCTCTATTAAATTTATTAAAATAATATAAATTTTATAAATAAATAAATAAAAGTAGTGGCATACTTGTAAATATATGTAACTTCAAAATGTGACTGGCGTTAAGTTAGTTCATGGATTGGCACGACAGTTGGAAGTACCCTTGTCACAATGACTTCATCGGTTGCTCTAACTTCAACTTCAATTCCTTCTTGACCTCCACTATTGATTATAGCGTCGTTCTCTGCTAATGGATATTTGTAATACCTATTGTCAGGATCACCAATAGCTTGAGTATCCGAGCCGTCTTAATACATCACTTATTTATGATTTACTTTATTCTAACAAGGCTCGAGCTTTGAATTTCATAGGTAAATTGTTGTTTAGACGGGAAGTTAACAACTTCGTTAGCTATAACTAATTAGGGTTTCGTTTCATCGATTTAATTAAATCTAAACCGAAAGAACAATATGGTAGGGGGAATCACATGTCTAAGTGGTGAATGGTGGTTTTATTAACTTTAAAAATATATTTATTTTATTTTATTTATTTATTTATTTATTTATTTTTCTCTTTTAGGTTTGCTTCCATGTTCTAAGGCATAAAAAGTGGCTTTTGCAGCCCATGGAAATGAAAAAGAGGCAATTTTTTAAAATTAAAAATATTTGAGTTGCTTTTAAAATCCCATTTCTTTCACATGGCCATGTTTCTTAAGTTAGCAAAATAGTACCATCAATACATACAATAATTTAGTTTAAATTAGAAAAATATGTATAACCAAATGAAATTATTATTTATTTGGACACGTCACATCTTAACCGTAAACGATCAGTAACCTAGCACGTGTCGGTAAATAATTTGACCCGAGTATTTCGAAGAATACTCAGTAAGTGACCCCACGAGGTCATGCAAATGCAAACACATGTCATCATGTGATAAGAAAAGGAACCACTACAAGGGGAGTAAGATTCGGATTACCTTGTTGATCGAATATCTCAAGGCAAGAACATTGCTTGAGATTCGAATCACTCCACAAGCAAGATCGATCATGTCTAGTTTGAATGATTCTTGTTGATCAAATATCTCAAGGCAAGAACACTTGCTTGAGATTCGAATCACTTCACAAGCAAGATTGATCATGTCGAGCTTGAATGATTCTACATGCAACCTAAACTACATAAAATTGCAAAGAAACTTAGCCATTGGCTAAAGAAGAGCACAAATGCTTCTTTTACTATATTTTTCAAGTCCCTTACACATACAACATACATGGCTTTATATAGCCTCAAAATGAAACTACTAAAATCATTCCAAGAGTTGTAACATTCATACTTAATGGCCATAAATAACCATTATATAATTGTAACCTATAGTAAGTAAAGTCTTAAAATACATAAATGAAATACAATAACTCTAAATTGTAACCCACCCAAAAGTTATAACAATCAAACTTCATTCTTCTTCAATTTGGCATGAATTGAAACATCTTTTGATAATTTTGACAACCTTTTCTTCACATCTTCATTGAAGTCTATTGTATGATTGATGTCTTTTGGTTCATATCATCATGATTCAGGGACCTATCTCTAAAAGGTGGCCTCTAATCTCGGACAAATTGGATGTGTAGTACTTCCCTACAATGACTCACACGTGCGAGTGCTAATCTGTAGCGACGTTTGGAGATCAACGGAACCCCATAGTGTCATGCGTCTCATGAACACCCTCATCATCATACGGTGCGTATTCCACCTCATTTGAAACTAGCTATTATAATTTTAATATTAATATTTTAACCCGTTCATTTCGTCCACCTCATTTAAAACTTCTTTTGATATTTTATTATATGTATGAAGGTGTCGTGTTCGGTGAATAAGATTACTTCTCAAACGGTACCTAACATATGCAGGAAAATGACAAACCCGCCAAATAGACCTAAAATTAAAATATAAGCATTTATTGATAACATGTTAAATGACTAAAATTATTATTATTTAAAATAAATTAAATATAACTTAAGAGTTTTTTAAATGAATGATGATTAAATATAGTACAATAAAATAAATCATAGTTAAATAAAAAAATTGGACGAATAATTAAAAAAAAAAATAAAAAAAGGACAATAATATTACATCAATGGTCAACTATTATTTA